GGCTACCTCTGGCGAGCACATGGAGGGCTGTGCGGCCCCCCAAAGAAATGCCACCCCACACCATTACTGACCCACCGCCAAACCGGTCATGCTGGAGGATGTTGCAGGCAGCAGAACGTTCTCCACGGCGTCTCCAGACTCTGTCACGTCTGTCACATGTGCTCAGTGTGAACCTGCTTTCATCTGTGAAGATCACAGGGAGCCAGTGGCGATTTTTGCCAATCTTGGTGTTCTCTGGCAACTGCCAAACATCCTGCACGGTGTTGGGCTGTAAGCACAAACCCCACCTGTGGACGTCGGGCCCTCATAACACCCTCATGGAGTCTGTTTCTGACCGTTTGAGCAGACACGTGCACATTTGTGGCCTGCTGGAGGTCATTTTGCAGGGCTCTGGCAGTGCTCCTCCTGCTCCTCCTTGCACAAAGGCGGAGGTAGCGGTCCTGCTGCTGGGTTGTTGCCCTCCTACGGCCTCCTCCACGTCTCCTGATGTACTGGCCTGTCTCCTGGTAGCGCCTCCGTGCTCTGGACACTACACCAACAGACACAGCAAACCTTCTTGCCACAGCTCGCATTGATGTGCCATCCTGGATGAGCTGCACTACCTGAGCCACTTGTGTGGGTTGTAGACTCCGTCTCTCATGCTACCACTAGAGTGAAAGCACCGCCAGCATTCAAAAGTGACCAAAACATCAGCCAGGAAGCAAAGGAACTGAGAAGTGGTCTGTGGTCACCACCTGCAGAACCACTCCTTTATTGGGGGTATCTTGCTAATTGCCTATAATTTCCACCTGTTGTCTATTCCATTTGCACAACAGCATGTGAAATTGATTGTCAATCAGTGTTGCTTCCTAAGTGGACAGTTTGATTTCACAGGAGTGTGATTGACTTGGAGTTACATTGTGTTGTTTAAGTGTTCCCTTTATTTTTTTGAGCAGTGTATGTTTGAGTGTTTTGTTTTCCAAAAAAAAAAAACCCAGAAGTTTGAAGTAAATACAAGAAACAACTTCTGCTAAGTCTAATCACAGACCTTCAGAATGGCCTGCTATTTGATTGGAACCTTGCATGTTAATCATTTCAGGTTGTATGACAAATGAGAACAGATCAGAAAAATGTGATAAAAACAGTAAAATGTAACAGTAAAATCAACAGCAATAAATTACAGGAAGGGACTCAAAACTCCACACAACAGAGACGTTATGTTATAAGGCTACGTTAGCTTGCAATGTTTCATTTATATTTCAAGCTTGCTTCTGCCAACTCCAAAACTGTGAGAACTATTTTTGCCCCTCGTCATTGAATTACATGGAGGCATTTTGACATTTCTTGGAACATTATTTTACCCTCGGCCCTACATACAGTATATCTGACGCTGGAATATAAGTATGTATACCCACAAAGACACAAAATTGCATGCATGCACAAAAGCGCAGATACACACATAAACACGTTTAATTCACTTCTCAAACCGATGCCAAACCCACATCGTCATTTAATCTTTATCTGTACCCATCTCTCTGGTCCTGATTAGACATCTAGCTTTTCAGACCTGGAGTGGACAAGATAAGATCTGTTACAATGAAACTCTCCTCTGTTGATGATGGCGGTTCTGACTATAGTCTCTGTTTGTGTGTGTATGTGCACATATGCTCCTTGCAAATATATGGTTGAATGACTGCATTTGTACATTGCTGTGTGCATGTTAAACAGATTAAGCAGGTCCACCGGTTGGAGCTATATCTGAACTGACAAACACATAAACACATAAAAGAGAAAGCTGAAACACACACACACACACACAAATGCAATGTGTGCACCTGTAGGCTTGTGGCACGTTCCAGGCGGGCTGTCCGCCAAACTGGGGATGTGACACACACACACACACACACACACGCACATCATGCAAAGTTGGCCCTGCTAAGCACAGCAGTCAAAACCAGTATAAGAGAGCAAAGGCATTCCTAACTCCTCTGAGTCTCTGAGCTGTGCTCTCTGCTCTCAGGCCAAATGATTAGAGTGCTCTAATCAGCAGAGGCTCTGAAAGGACAGCTATCTCCCCGTATTTCATCTCTCTCACTCTCTCTCTTTTCCTTCAGCGACAAGCTATCTGTGTGACAGGTATTTTCCTTCAAAAGACAAGTATGGCTAAAGACATACAGAGATAGAGACATTGAAGAGGAGCGAGCATGAGACAGAGCAAGAGAGATGTATGATGGCCTGTCCAGCAGCTTTCAACAGAGAGCATCATTGTCCTGGCAGACTGCGGAGCGACCCACAGGTGTGGCTTCACCCTAGATGCACCACAGTCGGCCACTGTGTGTGTGTGTGTGTGTGTGTGAATCTGTGCACGACTCTGTGCACGCGTGTGTCTCTGTGAGCGAGTGTGTATGTGTGCCAGAGAACAAGTGAGGGAGTGAAAGAAGATGACAACGTATGTCAGTGGGGATAAAAAGGAAGTAGCTGATTTCTTAGTGTTGATTCCCTTAATCCACTGCAGCATTATATAAAATAAACGTCCTGAGTCCTGTAGAACGTGCTGCTAGTAGAATGCTGACATTGAACACTACTTAGTCAGAGCTTTGTTTTCTCTCTTACCAATTCAGCTCAATAAATTATGATGTATCACTGGCATTTTATTTCTTGTTACTTGTTCTTTCCTCGCTTTGAACGGTTTACAAAACAGACAACAATGCCTATGTGAATGGAAAATGAAATGATGGTTTGCTTGGTAATAATGGTATAATGATCTGTAAAAGTTTAATATGTACAGAATATTAATTTTACATGGTATGTATCTTGTCATGACTGCATTTTTTGAATTCTCCATCTTTTTTAATTGGATTCAGGCCTGGTAGATGACAGGATCTTTCCAGATTAAGCCAAGTGTTTGAAGGCAATGTAAATTACTGACCCCTGTAGGGACATTGTTTTTCCCTCTTTCCCTCCACAGCTGGGTCACAGCAGAGTTCAACCATGGACCATTACCCCTCTGGCTAAAAGTGTCTGGTCTTTGTCAATACTATGGCGACTAAATTTCACATTTTCACACATTTCAAACACATTGTTTTCTCTCTGTTATGCCCTTCAACCACACTGAGCCACAATTGTTTTTCAGACCCCGAAAACAGAGCTTTTCTTTTAAAAGTCTGGCATTTTAGCATGGAGAGAGCTCTCACAAAAGCAGTAAAATTGTTTTAAACGTCAATATTGCAGATCAAACAGTACACATAATGTCACTAACCAGGGTTCATGTTGATTTTGTCAGATATCTTTGCGATTATAAACAAGTGATTTGATCAGCGCCGCAGCATAGGAGTTTCTGTTTGCCCAGGTAGGTTTTTTAGCCAAGATCCAATTCCTGTTTCATGCTTGCTCAGTTGACTGACAGAAATAACAGAATAATATGTAAAAAACAGAAAAGTAAAGACACACTAACAATGATGAAAGAGAGCATGGGGCAGACAGGACGGAGGCTTAGCAAGCAAAGACTGAGCAGAGCAACCAGCCTTGAGCAACCAACTATGATGTACTCTTGTAGTTTGTCAACCAAAAGAAGGGCAAAGAACAGATTAGCCAATTTTGGACTGATCAGGTGTAAACGTGGATGCAGTTGCTGATGTTGTTTAGACATGTAAATCATCCTGCTGGCCCATCAGTACATAATGTTATTCCCACATTTACAACAATAGGAGAGGTCCTTCAAATCAGTAATTTAACAAAGGCAGTGGGGAGCAGCTTTTTCCATTCCATGTCCAATAACTTCTGTAGATACTGATGGAAACTATTCATTTTTCCTAACGATGGTCATTCTCAGTAACCCTAATAAATCCCTAGAGGTGAATCATAGTGATCACATGTGAAATGACAAAATGATGGAAAAGTTGGTTGGGGAGACACGTACTGTAAAGCAGCCAGTCCATCTGCCAGTCATACAAGGACATTCAGTAGACTTACACAGCCTCTGTGACGACACCACAACCCACATTGACCTTGACTGGGCTGTGAATGAACAGTGGGAGGAATCACAAAGCTTCACATTCAAACACTGCTGCTTCGCAGAAGTGTGTGTGTGTGTGTGTTAAAGAGAGAGCTGGAAAGATATACAGAAATATTGGATGTTGTCTAATGAAACACTGCATGCAAGACAACCAAATCACTACACAGACAGACAGACAGAGACCCACATGGTTAGAAAATATGTTATCAGCAGATCTGCAGGGTCTGTCTGTCGGACTGTCACACACCTTGCAGAGCTGAGCCTGTATGGATTGTTTTATGATGACATATCCACAGCGCCTAGAGGGCCACCTGACATTCCTGACTCTGAACCCCTGCTTCACACACACACACACACACACACACCTACAAACACATGTACTACCTCCACCAATCTCCCTCTCCTCTCTCCTCCATGTATTACTTCAGGCAATGAACAGCAGACACCTCTCTCACTCTGTTTCTGTCTCTTTGTCCTTCACCCTGAGGATGCATATTTCCCAGTCTCACCCTCTAGTCAAAATAGACTTTTTTTTTCATTATCTCTAGGTTATTAGAGCATTAAAGATTATTGACAATCATAAAAGTTATAAGAACTAAATGAATAATTGATTTTATTTTGGGAAACACTATTAAACATACAGTAGATACTTCTTACATATAGGCAACATGCATATTAATTATTACTGCTGCTGCTATCTGATCCATTTGGATATCTGAATTGCTTTACATCTGTTTTTTCATCCTGCTATTGTAACTGTGATCATTTTTTGTATTTGGACCAGACTCCAAAAGAGATGATTCCCAGACTATCCTGAGTATTTAGGTAAAAAAACGGTAAGCCAATGTTGAGTGATGGTGCTGTGTATAAATACAGACAACGTGATTATGCCCCATGTTTGTGTATAGAAATATTAAAATAAAACTGAGTCAGGTGAGATCATTAAGATCCCAGGGTGACACGAGACAGACAAACGTAAAACACGTGGTAAATAAAGAGCACTTACCACCAGAGTCCGATGATATTGACCGGACAGAGCAAGATAAAGAACAGGGCCAGTTGGATGCGTGATAGACGAACAGTCATGGTGAACGCAGCAAATCCTCAAGGAATCCCAGTAAAGTTTAAAGTATTGATGAGCTCAGCCAATACCGAGTTGGATTCTTTCTTAAATACATAGGAGGCCCTTAATTTCTGACGGTGCACTCAGCAAAAGCTCACTGGAAACTGTCTGTCAACGAGAGTGCAAAAAGTGCATCATCCAACTCCTCTTCTGTCGGGCGCATCTTAATGCGCAACAAAGTTGGTCAAGAGGCTACTGAGGAGATGTCCGCTTTCAAAGGTGTGGTTAACCTCTTCATTGTCGTTCTGCTCTGTCGCAGCACATTACACGCTTTCAAAACTGTCTGAGGAGGAACGACTTCAAGCAGTGAGGTCCTCTGGCTGCGAAACAGCGCGCGAAACAGCTCTAGTTGTGAGGACACTCGGAGTCTCGCCACTTTGGGTGATATTTAAACCAATGAAATGATGATGTCAAAGACAGAGCTTTGCTGCCTCTCTAACAAATTAAAATATATTTTCGTTGGTGCTGCTGTATGTTCGCCGTTCTCTTTTCTTCGGTGCGCACCGGCTACAGGTAGAAGCGTCTGTGTGCCACTGTCGGTGAGTTTTCCTTGGGTAATAAACGGATGGAAAAATGCGCTCGACTTCTTCCACCTTGGTGTGACGTCGCTCGGGGCGAAGCGAAATCCTCGCTGTCAGTCACTCAGAGAGGGAGAGAGAGAGAAACTGCAATTAGTTTTGGGAGGACCCGACTGAGAGCAAAACGGTGGTAAACACACACACACACACACACAATCACACACGCACACACAATCACACGCACACAGTGAACTGTCATAGCCTACATTGTGTTTACGGTGGACCCGAAATCAGAGCTTATGGAACGAGGTGATGTCAGCACAGGTGTGGTTGTACCTTTCTGATATCTGTGCCAACCGATTGGTATGTATGAAGCTATCTGGGTGGCGTTTTGTTCTTTCTGGTTTGGGGGCTGAAATTGAAAAGATCACATAAAAAGAGAAAACTGATATTTTTTTTGTATTATTATTACTTTTTTGTAGACTTAATAAGCCAAAGTTTAAAAAGAGGAATTATTTTGTATGTTCTAAATGTGTGTGTGTGTGTGTGTGTGTGTGAGGGGGGGGGGGGGGGGGGGGTAGTATCATCGCATATCTGGCCAAGGGCATATCCATTGAAATTCAACACCACTGTACTGTAGTCGCCCATAAAAGCACTGACACCCGACTTCGTTCCACTGCGGTGATGCAATCAATCACAAGTGTAACACAAGTTAAACTCACCCAGTCAAGTACCAATGTCTTTCACGGGCACCTCTGTTCCATTCACTTATGCACAAATCTCAGCCATGGCTGTAACTCTGGACAATGACATGCCTTCACTCAAGCCAACTCTAACTAATGTACCTAACGTTAGGCTGACAATGTAAAGTCTCACTTCTAAGTATTAGAGTAAAAAATCAAGTCATGTTTTACTCAAAGTGGAACAGCTAAAGGATAATGTTTGCCCATAGTCTTCATAATATTGGAGTCTGACCAGTAGTTGCAGTTATTTTTGTATCACTTCCATATGCAAAGGTTGAAAGAACTTGAAACAAATCCACTGAAAACACAATTGAGTTTTTGCTTGATCTGGTGCTTTACATCGGTTGCCCCGGCCTTTCTGTGTGGAGTTTGCATGTTCTCCCTGTGTCCACGTGGGTTCTCTCTGGTTGCTTCCTCCCACCATCCAAAGGCATGCAGGCTAGGTTAATTGGTGTCTCAAAAATTGTCCTTAGGTGTGGATGTGAGTGTGAGTGGTTATTTGTCTATGTGTGCCTTGCAATGGACTGGCGACCTGTCCAGAGTGTACCCTACCTTTCTTAGTTTGCTTGGTTGTCACTTGATGTATTTGTCTCTTTCTGTTTATTGACAATGTTTAAGGGTCTTACTGTAATGCAGACGTCCAGACACTACCATAAGCCTTGGTTAGCAGGAAGCATTTATGACCTTCAGTCCTTATTTCAAACTCTGGCAACACAAGTTGAAAGATGTAAATGAGAAAATCTATTGAAAACATGAAAATTGAGGGAGTCTGAGCTGATAGTCTGGTACTTTACTCAAAAGATCAGGTGGAGTAAGTGGCGATAAATATTAATTCAGTATATCCATTCAACTCAGTATATCAAATGGTGAGAGAAGATTCAGTTGTTTTATATTGCATGCACAAAGTTTGCCTTTTCAGTGTGGATGGCTGGCTATAGAAAGGTATAAACAAAAACCTTTCACACATCAATGTATCCACACATAAGCGTGCCACTGATCATAACAGGTCCTGACCCTTTACAGCAGTTTAAAAAAGAGAACTTTCTCTTTAAACTCTGGAATGGATGAGGCCATTCACAGTAGCTATATGACAGCTGAACATTTGTGAGGCTATATCTTTTCACCCAGTTCGCTCTCAGCTCTCAACTCTCAGCTCACTACACCTATATGAATGAAAATGTCACATGATGTGCTTGGACACACTGATGTGCTTGGACATACTATCAAACACCTACTGCATAGTGCCTTCATCGTGTCTCTTGCGTTAACCACCCCGTGTAGGAAGTGGGCGCCTAGTCTAGAGCGCTAATCCTCTAGACGTTGTTTTTTTGGGTGTTGTTTTTTTCTTTCACCTTTTTTCATACAAAAGTGCATCTGTAGAACATGTTCATTACAACACACCTGAAAACATGACTGCCAAACACTGTTAAAAGCAAATATCAAATATTAAATTAAATATTAAATTAAGATGTAAATTAGGCTAATTAATTCATTTATACTATCAATATTTTTCAATATATTCAAACTTCATTTCAATAGAAAACATTTGTTATTCCATATACCTGACCTTTCTCTTTACATTCAATAACAGTATGAATAGATAAGAGTTTATAGTTCATTTCAATTCCTCCTGTTTATTGAGGAGCTGTACGGCAGAGGGTGCAGTTTGGTTTATGGTGTTCTTCTTGTAACACTTGTTGACTTCTTGCTTCTTCACAAAATGTTTTGTTTGTATGCCCCATGGCATTTTGGAGAACGCTGCAATGCTTATGTGCAGAGGCCCACAGCATGGTGTCTAAAGTGAGCATAAACAAATCTTAAAAGTCTCCAGAGGATGTAATTCAGGACTGTTCAGTCCAGACTCAGTAAGTCAGGGACAGACTTTCACATTTATCGGGATATCCCCACTTTGCTGCGGTCCAGCGAAAAAAGAAAGAAGAAACATTATCTTCACAAGTTCGCCCATCCTTATGGGATGCTTTAATATTACGAAAGTCTCTGTTAGCCCAGTCAAGGAGTCCTGGACTGCCTATGGTCTGTAAAATGTTTGATCACCTAACCGCCTTAGATTTTGACTTTCAATATGTACACCCACATGTGGGCACTGGTCTTTAGAAATGGTTACTTTTCTCTTATGCGCTTCCACTGCATTGACAAAAAAGGCTTTGTCCCAATGTCTCCTTCTATTTTTCTAAGTGAAAGAGAAGCATCTGATGTCCTTCAGGTTGAGTTTTCCATTGGGTTTGTTCAGTAGAAAGAGTTTTCTCCTAATAACGTACGCTATGTTTCATTCCAAAGAGATTATGTCTAATGCAGCATTCACATCATGTCAGGTGGAAGGCAGTGATGAGGAAGATTTAGATAACTTTCAAGTTATAACCATGAAAGATGGTGAGTGCTTCCTGCTGTTTGATAGGCAGAGTTGGCCATGTGGAGGTTACAAATTATGTGCATCATCCTGACATTTGCATTCAGGTACCTTGAGTGATGGACTCATTGAATTGCAGAAAAATTAGAGAAGATTCAGAGATTGCCAATTATTAGATTTATATGAAAGGGGTTATATGTTGTTTTTTATTCCTGTGTGAAGGGGTTGTAACCTCACATAAAAACAATTCACATGGGCTGGTTACCTCTGACAGCCAGTATGCCTAATCCTATGTGAAGACTCCGGGTCGGATTTTCCAGGAAATCCACTGGTTGTGACTGCATGTTCTCTCCGCAGCTAACGAGATTTAGTCCACTAAAAACAAACAAAGAAAACTTATTATGTCAAAGTGTTGATTTTAATCTGCAAGAAATTATGTAACAGTACATAGCAAAGGTGGAGCGTCTTGTTTATTTGTTTATAATAGCCTATAGTGATGCAAGTCAGGGGCAGCCAGCTAACATTAGTATATATCTGCTGCTTTTGCTTTATAAGTTCAATTTAGATTTATTGTTGTTTTACCAATACTCAGGTACACAACTTCGTCACCGGTCTCAGTTGCTGTAACTTACTGACCCACATAATATACGTCCATATAATGCAACGTAATGGCACAGGACAACACCACAGTTAAACACCCATTCACTACCGTAATGTTAACTTGTCTAACTGTTATAAAGTTTGGCAGCAATCTCATTTGTAATAGTCAGTCTAGCTTACTTACCATTTCGTTATCACCCAATACATTTAGCTGTGCTAACCATAGACTGTATAAGAAGTAAACATAGTCGTCGTGACGTTACCCGTTGGTTTGTGGACTGCCGTTTTGAAGCCTCGAGTTTGAACGATTTCATTTTTGCAACGAGGACCATATTTGGACAAGACGGTTGAGCTAACGGCCATGTGTGGAGCTAGCTAGCTTGCTTAGCTACGTGTAACTGTAACTCAAGTTAACTTTCATTTTAACAGGGCTGATAACTCTGTCTAGCGAACAATAGTCTTAAAACTAAATGTACTCACCAGAGAAAGTGAACAGCCAACTCCTAATACGCTTTTTCAACGGCACTGGTTAAATTTACACAGTGCCGTGGGCACGAGTCGCCATGATAACGACTTGTCAATCATAGAAAATCCCACCCTGAAACATACTCTGCTTTCTGGTCTATTTTAAAATAAATGGGACCATAATTTACTAAATTAACATCATTTTGTATTGAAGAAGACAATGAAACTAGCGACTGAGACCATAAACTCATCAGGAAAGTGTTTACTGAGGTAAGAAATCAGCTGAGAAGTAGGGTCATTTTACCATTGTTTCTAATGGAACTGGACTTCTTTTTGCAACCAGAAGAGTCGCCCCCTGCTCGCCATTCAATAGAATGCAGGTTTCAGGGACTTCCGCATTGGAGTCACGTTTCAGACCAAAAGCTTCCCGCTTGGTGCTAACACTGCTGAGCCTCTGGTGAAAGATACAGAAATAGTTACTGAAAAGGGACAGGGGAGCTATAGGGTAGCTGTTACATTGCAGTGGGAGTTTACATAGGTTTCCAGCATGTTGTGTGAAGCTGACCCCCGTAGTTTCGGTCTCTGTGTTTGATTATGCTCGCTCATGAGTTGGAGCACGTGTACGAGCACACACCAGTTTGCGATCTGAAAACTGCACTGCTAGTGGCTGCTTAAAACTACATATAGCCCCGTTAACATGGATCAAATTACTGTGTGTATTGTGAGAGGTGCTCATAGGCGCTCATAGTGATGAACCCACAGACTATTATCACAGTTCTAGCATCTTTCAGCTCCTTGTTTTGGTGTTATGGCCCAGCGGCAACCTCAGGGGCTGAAAAGTGAAGCAAACACAAAGTGTCAAACACTGCAGATCCTGAAATGGCCACTTGAAGCTGTCTCCAAAAGCAAGTCAATCCCCAT